CAAAGGCTATAGACTGTATGATCCGGTAAATAAAAGGATTGTGATTAGCAGAGATGTCATATTTATTGAAAAATTATTAAATAATAATGAGAATGATTCACAACAACCTGTACTTACCAAAGAGTTTGTGGATGTTCCTCTGAGTGAAGGAAATAAACAAGTGACATCTGATGATACATCACAGAGTGAGACTCAAGATGATACATTACACTCAAGAACTGACTCATCTTTTGATAGCTGTGTAACAAATAATAACACAACTGATGTAACATATTATCCTAGTTCCAATGATGAAGATGATACTAGTAACGATAGTTTCACAGGAAATATCACTCTAAGATCTCATCAGAGACACAATAATTTCATGTGTGTTCAACAGGTTTCAGATCCAGAAACTGTTGAGGAAGCTTTGTCCGGCTCTGATGCTGAACATTGGAAAGCAGCTATGGATGAGGAATATCAGTCATTATTAGAGAATAATACCTGGGTCTTGACTACTCTTCCAGGTGACAAACGTGCCATACCATGCAAATGGGTTTTTAAGAGGAAGACTGATGAAAATGGAGAAGTGAATAAATATAAAGCACGATTAGTAATTAAAGGTTGTTCACAAAGACCTGGTGTGGACTACACTCAAGTATTTTCACCAGTAGTAAGGTATGCTTCTCTGAGGTACTTATTTGCCTTAGCAGCTAAATTTGATTTAGATATCTGCCAAATGGATGCTGTATCAGCTTTTCTACAAGGTGATATAGAAGAGGAGATATATATGATGCAACCACCACTGTATGGCAATGGTAATCAAGTATGTCTTCTGAAAAAGTCATTGTATGGATTAAAACAGGCAAGCCGGCAATGGAACAAAAAGCTAAGTTCTGCATTGAAGAAAATTGGTCTATTACAGAACAGGTTAGATCCTTGTATTTATTATAAAATTGTAAACAACAATAACATGATTTTTTTAGCTACATATGTTGATGACTTAATTTTATTTACAAATAATATGGAGTCTAAAAAACATGTTAAGGAGGAGTTAAGCAAACAATTTAAAATAAAGGATCTAGGAGATATTAACTATTGTATTGGCATACATGTTAAAAGAGAAAGGAAGGATGGAATCATATATTTAGATCAGAAAAAGTATATAAGAGAGGTACTGAATAAATATGGCATGGCTGATTGTAAGAGTGTTAAAATTCCAATGGATGCTAATACTAAGTTAAAAGGGATATCTGAAGAATCAAGTACTTTGAATGGAGTCCCATATCAAGAAATAATTGGATGTTTATTGTATATTTCGCAAATTACTCGGCCAGATATAAGCTATGTAATAAATATGTTGAGTAAGTACAATCAGAAACCTGAAATGTCACATTGGGTGGCTTTGAAGCGTGTTATGAGGTATTTAAAAGGAACTGAAGATTACAGACTAAGTTACAAACAAAACTCAGATGAAAACATGACTCATGGCTACTGTGATGCAGACTGGGCAAGCTCGGAGGATGATCGGCGTTCCTGCACGGGGTACGCATTTCTGTTTCAGGGAGGAGCTATCAGCTGGAACTCTAAACGCCAGCCAACTGTTGCTCTGTCGACAACCGAGGCAGAGTATATGTCTTTATCATCCTGTGTTCAAGAGGCTATGTGGCTGAAACAACTTCAAGAAACGTTTTGGCCTCTTCTGAAGGATGAAGCAATGATCATTTATAGCGATAACCAAAGCTCTATTAAACTTTCAGAATCCGACGGCTATCATTCCAGGACCAAGCATATCGATGTCAGACACCATTATGTACGTGACAAAGTTATTGGAGGTGTCATTGATGTGCAGTATATCCAGACGGACTTGATGGTGGCAGATGCATTAACTAAAGCGACACCATATTCAAAACTGGTCTACTGTGCTTCAAAGATGGGATTGATTTGAGTTTAAGGGAGGATGTTGAAATATTAAACATTAAATCAATAAGTATTGTTTGTTGTAGTTTCTGAACATAACCAAAAGTTTCCGATTGTTGTCACTTGTGGCGCTAGTGCATTCTGTCTGTTCTCTGTAATCTTTACCGGCTAATAAACGTATTGTTAAACTTTTCATCTCGTTTATTATTATTCAACAGAAACCTACCAACGGCAAGTACCAATGTGACTTTTTCCTAGTTATATGTACTTTCTAAGATTATCTAGACAACCACTGACAAACGGTGAAGGAAAACATCGTGAGGAAACTTAGGCTTATAATTTGTAATTATAAGTTTGTAATCGCCAACCGCATTGAGGAAGCGTGGTGATTAATGCTCAAAACCTTCTCCGTGTGAGAAGAGGCTTTGCTCAGCTGTGGGCATGTATAGGCTGTTGATGATGACGACTCTTAATCTTGATGACCATACAATATAATCTATTTTTTTTCATAACTGCCTCCATTATGGATATCAAACGAAATGGCATGATTGGTAGAATAGAGCTCATTGAAACCGTTCAACATAAAAATATGTTTTACTAGCGACCCGCCCTGGCTTCGCACGGGTGCAATATACATGTACCATACATATAAATCTTCCTTAAGAATCACTCTATCTATTAAAAAAAGCCGTATCAAAATCTGTTGTGTAGTTTTACAGATCTGCATACATAGGGACAGACGGCGGATAGCGACTTTGTTTTATATTATGTAGTGATGCATTACTTGTTAAAATGACGAAGGAGCAATGAAATAGTGTTCCTAAAATTCCTAAAATAATGAACGAAGCTAAAGTCGAAGATATTAATATATATTTGTAACAAATTCGTCGGGATAACTAATTTATTTACAATTTTATGTTGTAGGTACTATAAATATGTTATATTATGTATGCTAAATTAGTTATACTTCGACCAAGATCAATGTGAAATATTTTGTAACCAAACCACGTGTTTCTACAATAGCTATACTCAAACTGCAACTCGATGGCGTTTTTAATGGACCCATTTGAAGTTTATATAGAGGTATACCGTTCTACCTCTATTTTAAATTTCGTGTCCATAAGAGAACGAGTGATTCGGGATCGGATCTAAAATACAAAAAAATAGTTAATAATTTCTAGTCCTCTTATTTATAAAGTAGATACACCGTCATCTTTGATTTGGTTGTGTGAACTGGTGAGGGCGACATAACTTTTCTGATACCTAGACCTTGTTAATGATTCCCTTTCATTTACATAGAGTATATTTAACTCGTCGAGTACCGGTTTTGTAGACACAATTATAGAACAATAGGTTGCGGTCACCGGTGACCGCTTGGTGTTTGACAGTTTAATTAGATAAGGTACGATGCGGTTGACGTATCCATATGGACAAAAACCCTTTAAAAACAATAAAGGAGAATTTATTTGATTTACGTTTTATTTATATGCTTTTCCCTCACGGGCCGAAATATTTTTTTATGGATATGCCCGGTAAACGAGCAGACGGATCACCTGATGGTGAGCAATCGGCGCTGCCCATGAACACGTGAAACACCTGAGGCGTTACAAGTGCGTTACCCAGTTGTACAGTCTCTTTTCTGTGCCTTCAGGCTTAATTCATTCTGTCTCTTGCAGTAATTCATCGAGGGAAGTGGAAACTAGAGTTGTTTTCTTCTCCTCTTATAATATTTTCTGATTCACTTCGTTACGGGAACCAAGACAGTTACTCATGTTCCTGCGACGCGCCGGACTTCAGTGTTCCGGTTTTCATGGTTGTATCTACTGTAGATCCTGGCTTACAGGAGTTGCAGCGGTTTTGGGAGGTTGAGGCGGGCTTGTCTCATTAAAAAAAAGTGTGTTACCGGCCTTTTGGGGATTAAGAATTTGAGGAATATTAGGGATTCAGGGATTAGGGAGATTGGGGGGAATAGTCGGGCCTCCGGTAACTCATTCACACGATGAAACACAAGTGTTGCTTCACGTCGGTTTTCTGCTCGGCCGTGGTATCACTCCGGTCGAACCGGCCCATTCGTGCCGAAGCATGGCTCTCCTACTCCTAAACTAAACTGCCCATGACTGAAACGTTATTTAGCCCTAGTAAATATAAGGTTGGGTTTTTGTACAATAGGGTAGTTGCCTGGATTTTATTTTAATGTCCGTCTGGTAGATTAATTTAAAACATTAGACACGTATTTTTTCTTTTCCCACAAAATTAAGTACTTTCGACGATATATTAATCTGAAATATCGTGTGACGTCACAATGAGCTACATTTTGTAGAACTTTGTGACGTAACGACCTCCCACTCCTAAACTTAACTCCATTTTATCTAAGTATTGTAACTTTATACGAGAGAATAAAAATACGTGTCTAATATTTTTTCATTATGTAACTGACGGACTAATTAGATTTTTAATTTTCATTCCCTGGCAACTACCCTATAATGGGTGTATATGGAACTACATGTGTATAATTCCACTGCTTTTTTTTGAAGGGGGAAAATCATCGAATGACTGCTCCCGCCAGGGTGAAGCGGGAGGGGGAGTGTCAGACTCTTACTGACTAAAAACCACCCCGTTCCTTCTCATGCACGTCGAGCCGGAGCCCCGGTTACCCGTTAGGTTCTCCGCGACATAATTCCACTGCTTGCGGTTACTATCCCGCCCTCTGTCTCACTCTATTTACTGAAAGTTCCGAGTTATAACAAAACTATATAAGCGCACATACTGCTATTTTCTCCGGACAGATGTAGTCTTAACTCTATTTGCAAAAACTTCACGTCGATCTTAGCCAAAGTATAAAAATACTTACAAAACTCGGTCAACTTGAAAAATTAGTATACATATATATTTATATTATCAATATAATATATAGGTACTATATAATATAATACTTTATCTTAAACAACAATAACACACAAAAACCTTTTAAAAAACACACTTTCAACAATTGTTTTATTAAATAAAAAAAAAACGTTTTTAAAAACTCACACTCTCACAATTTAACACGTTTTTAGTTTTCATTTACATTTACATTTATTTTTTAATTTACGTTTACAGTTGTTTACATTTAATTTTACATTTGTAGGCCTTTTTTTAGTTTATTTAGTTTACACACTCGTTTTGTAAACCTGTTTTGAAGGTTATGCGATAATTTGAACATGTTTCTTCTCGCAAGGCTCCTTCAGCACGTAGGATGTCGTTCTTCTTAAAGAACCGACTGAATCTGTAAAAAATAATTAAGCAATCAGGTATAATTATGAATAACACGTTGTGTATTTAAGGATTAAAGCATTTCATTATGACTCCAAAAAAATACAGCATTGGACCTAAAACATCTCCTTGTGGAACACCCGTTACAACGCTGAGTGGCTGGACAAAAGCAAAATACTATTCAGGGAGTTTTGCGCGGTCATTTGCGTCGAGCACACGCTTAGTAGCAATTGCTCCGTAAATTTATTTTATTAACCAGTAAAAACAAAAAAAAAAAAACCTAAAATGGATAACGATAACGATGAAGAAGATCTAAGGTTTAATAGTGATAAAAGTGATTCAGAATTACTCAACGAATGCGAAATTGTTTTGGAAGATTTGAATGACAGCATTGAAACCAGAAGAAAAAACTTGAGAAAGTCTGTTGAGAAAAGAAAAGAGAGAGAGGACGATAGTAGCGTAGAAGAATATACAACCGTTACCAGGAAGTCTAAACGCCTTATTCGTAGCAATTCGAATAATGCAGAGAATAATCACGTAACACAAAAAAACAATCTGAGGGTAGAAGAAAAACAAAATAATTATGCAACCAATGTTGAAGTTTGTGTATCGTCGGTAGATGCCTTACCTAAACAAATGGCTTTTGCGAAGTTGTTGAACAACGAAAGTATAAAAAACATACTTAGAATAAAATATAAAAGCCCCTACAAGGTACTTATCCGTTTTGCCACCAATGAAGATGCTGAGAATTTGATAAACTGCCGAAAGTTTAAAGAACTAGGCTTTAAATGCTATATGACATATGAGTCAACTATGTCTTTTGGTATCATTAAAGGTGTTGACATGGAGTTAAAGGAGGAAGAAATTATGGATATTTTAGAGAGCGAATCAAAAATCTTATCAATCAAAAGATTGAAAAGAATTAGTTTAAACGAAATATGGGTTGACAGCGAAACTGTTAGATTATGCTTCGAAGGTTCCACTTTGCCGTCATATGTTTATGCGTACGGGTGTAGGTTCAAAGTGAACCCTTTTGTTTTCCCTGTAACGCAATGCACGGGATGCTGGAAGTTTGGACACTACCTCAAATATTGCCCAACTAAAATTAAAATTTGTCCCAAATGTGGCGGTCAACATGAAAATTGCGAAATTAAAGATTACGTTTGCCTAAATTGCAAGGGCCCCCACCTAGTATTAGACAAACAATGCCCTTTACATATTAAAGAGAAAAATATCCGAGCAATTATGGCCAAGGAAAATTCTACATATAGAAAAGCTTTAGAAATATACAATTCAGTTCAAAACAAAAATATAAACATACAAGAACCAATAGATACAAATTTACAAGAATTCAACCAAACGTTAACACGTATGACGTCATCAGCGCTAAGTAACTCCCCAGAATTATACAGTTCTATCGTAACTAAGAATGGAACAAAAAGAAGCACAGAAGATAAGCTGGCTTACAGTAACTATAAAAATGGCAGGGACATTGGCCCATCGCAGAAAAAGAAAACAAAAGAAAAACCATTGTTTATGGAGGAGATACCTACGACAATTCAAGAAAATCGAGCTGATACCAACGGCAGGGATACTAACTGCAACAAATTAGTAGATAAGTACAAATTTGATTTTAAGAAATTCATTTTGAAACTTAAAAACATTATTATGTCTGAGAGAAGTTTAGAGGAAAAAATTGTAACATGCATAAAATTATTGTATGATGATATTAAAAAATGTATATGTAGTCTATTCGATAATGTTAACTTGATACAATACTTTCTGTCAATTATTAATGGATAGCATCTCTTATCATTCCGTTATTAACATACTGCAGTGGAATTCACAAAGCATTAAACCTAAATTACAAAACTTTGCGGAGATTTTGTCTATAGAAAAAATTCATGTAGCAATTGTTAGTGAAACTTGGTTGGACTCGGAAGATACTCTCTCTATTAATTCATACAATGTTTTTAGACAAGATAGATTAGATAGCTATGGCGGGGTGGCCATTTTAGTCCATAAATCGGTTCAAGCACACGCTATTCCAATCAGTATTAGGAATACAGGTATAGAAATATTACACGTCAAATTGGTGAATTGCAGTAACTTACAGAACATTGTCTCTATATATTGTCCATCATCAAAACCTACACAAACGTGCGATTGGGAAGAAATATTTGAAAAATTCATAAGTAAATCATTGATAGCAGGAGACTTCAATGGTCATCACACGAATTGGTCGTACAAGAATGATTCAAGGGGTACACAAATATATGACTCATCGTTAGAGTATGGATTAATTTCTCTCAATAGTGGGGCACCTACACGTATTAAATTAGTAGAAGGCATTTTGAGGCAGACTTCACCAGATATTTCATTTGTATCACCAGATATTGCTCCAGAATTTCATTGGCAAACTCTTCAGGAAAATTTAGGCAGCGACCACTTGTTCATCAAAATGACAAAAAATCATTACGATAAATTACGTCACATTAAAAAGCGTAACCTAAGGTTAGCTGATTGGAAAAAATATAGGAATCTTCTAAAAGAAACGTTGTGTAATGATGATATAATTAACCAGTGCCATCCCCAAAATATACAAGAAATGTACGATTATTTAATCACTAAAGTTAACAAAGCAGCAGAAGAAAGTATTCCTTTAATTAAAATATGTACAAACATTTCAAACAAATTTAAACCAAAGCCATACTGGACTCCCGAGCTTTCTCAGGCTGTAGCGCGTCGAAGATTAGCACTTAAAAATTTTAGGAGAAACCCCTCCCCCAGTAACCTCCACATTTTTGAACACCAAATGAAACAGTGTTCGAAAATTATAGCAAAAGCCCGTAGCCAAAACTGGAATAAATTTTGCAATTCAGTTGATGAAAATTCCTCGGCAACTGAACTTTGGAATAAAATGAGGTGGATTAAGGGATACCGAAAAACAAAAACTCATGTCCCGGTTAATAAACAAATAGAATTATTATGCTCGCTTACCCCTGACTCCGTTATAAATAGGCTTCCTGACACTAAATCTCATAATAATATTATGGAAATTGATTTCACGATAGAAGAGCTTCAGTGTTGTTTAAAAAAAAAAGATACCTCTCCTGGTGCCGACAACATTACCTACTCAATGATTTACCACCTACCGGAAGTAGCGAAAAAGTTTTTACTGAAGATATACAATCTTATTTTACATACAGGATATATTCCGTCACAATGGCGTGAAATAATAGTTATAGCTATTCAGAAACCAAATACTTCTGTCGCAGAACAAAAACTTCGTCCTATATCACTAATGTCTTGTATCTGCAAAATCTTACACTGCATGATAGGAAAGCGTCTAGAATGGTATGTGGAGAAAAATAAAATTCTATCTTCGTATACAGTAGGATTCAGGAGATCATATTCTTGCATAGATAGCTTGACACGTTTAATTACTCAAATCCAGATAGGATACTCTGAAAATATCCCAACTATTGCGTGTTTTTTAGATATAGACAGTGCCTACAATAAAATTTTAATAGAAGCAGTAGTGAGAGTCTTAGATGAGATACAAGTGGGCGAGAAAATTTGTCATTACTTCTGGAACTTTCTGAAAGAACGACATTTAACGATTAAAGGGGATGACGATCAACCCATATTAACAAGATGGACGTCCTGTGGGTTAGCACAAGGGGACCCGATTTCACCCCTACTTTTTAATATAGTAACACATAAGATATGTTTTCAATTGGAAAAAGTAATGGTTTCGCAATATGCAGATGACTTCGTTTTGTACGTAAGCAACAAAAACCTGAACCAATGCAAAATAACCATCGAAGAATCACTCGGACTGCTAATTATATTACTCGAAGAACTAGGGTTACAACTGTCGACAGCTAAATCCAAATACTGTGTTTTTAGTAGAGGACATAGACGGATTGTACCAAGTTTAACTGTTGCAAATAACAATTTACCAATCACACCGTGCATTAGGTATCTGGGTATGTGGTTGGACCGTACACTGAGCTGGGGTAAGCATATCAACGAAATTGTAAGACAAGTTTCCAAATTCTTAAACTTATTAAAAGTTTTATCGGGTCCTACCTGGGGAGTTCATCAGAGACATATAAGGAGACTATATATTTCATTGGTTAGAAGTCGTATAGATTATGCAAGTTTTTTATATGATAGCAGTGCTCAAACCCACATTTCGAAACTTGACCGAGTCCAAAACCAGGCTTTACGAATAATTGGTGGATTTATTAAAAGCTCCCCTATCCATGTAATGGAAAGCGAACTTGGTATACCACCGCTATACCTAAGAAGGCAATACCTAGCAGCCAAATTTTGTATAAAAAGCCAATCATGGTCAAATAATGTCACTATCCGACTTGCGAATAAACTGAACATAGCGTGCAACAACATGTATTGGCAAAGGAAAAAAATACCTTTAATTGCGACTACATATAATGAGACTAAACACTATAACATCCACAGTACGTATCCACTGCTTATGTTCAAACAAAGCATATGGCTCTCTCACACTCGGGTAAAAGATGTAATTCATATAAACTTAGATAGCATTAAGAAAGGAAAAAAAGAATATGAATGCAATTCCCTCAAATCTAATGTTGTTAATGAATTGAATGAAAAATATTCTAATTGGTTTAAAATTTATACAGATGGATCCAAAACGGATAATAGTGTAGGTGCGGCCATTTATGTATCTTCTGTGAGTCATCGTGTTTGTTTTAAGGTTGGGAGCAATTTGACTATTATGTCAGCGGAGCTCATTGCAATTTCAGAAGCCCTATCCTTTGTCATCCAAAATAAATGGAACAATACTGTCATCCTTACGGACAGCAGAAGTGCTTTACAACATTTGGCTCGATGCGCCTCTGGAGTCAGAGGTGTACCGATAGCCTATGCAGTACTCGAAAAGATATTGCAATTACAGGACAAAAGCATAGCGGTGAAACTGCAATGGATTCCAGCTCATACCGGAATACATGGTAACGAAGAGGCGGACAAGTTAGCCAAATTGGGGTGCAGTGAAGGAATTATATATAACACCTTACCTGATCATTCAGAAATACTACCTGAACTCAAAATGTTAAATTACAGCAAATGGAAAGCACACTTTAATTTAATATCTAAAGATAAGGGAATTTGGTACAGAACACTACAGTCTGAGCCTCTTCGCATGCCATGGTTTGAAACGAATAAAATGAACAGAAACTTGACGAGAATATTGTGTAGACTTAGATCTGGTCATATTCCATCAAAAAAATTTGCGTACATGATGAGAAAAGTAGACTCCCCGAATTGTGATTATTGCCATGTTGAAGAAGATCTGCAACATATTTTGATGGAATGTGTCAAAAATAGTCAGGAGCGAAGGGTGCTGATGGGAGCACTTAAACTAAATAAATTTGATGTAGGTATCGCGCAAACTATTTTATCAACCCCAACGTCAAAGAAAGCAAAGATGTTTTGCAGTTTACTTTCAGTGCTCCCACAGTAGCTTGGTTCTTGACGTCGCCCTATTATCCTCTAATTTTTATAAATTTTTGTAGTTATGCTATGCTAATGATGGATACAATGGGGTTGTCATGTCCTATACCTAGGATAAAAACCCCGTCCAAAATAAATTGATTAAAAAAAAAAAAAAAAAAAAAATACTATTCAGAAAATCTCTACAGTTTACTAGAAGTTTCGGTGTTTGCACGGTTTTACCTACTGTAGATCCTGGTGAACACGAGTTTCCGCGGATTCTGGAGACTTGAACCGTTAAAAATTATAATAATAACCCCAAAACACTCGATATAAGTTTATAAACCCTTGACTTACACCCTCTCACATACACACTGTTATAAAAAGCAGTTATATTAAACACTTGCAGAATTTTCAGAAAGTTCTTGTCCATAGAATAAAAATATCATCAAATCATCCCCAAGATTGCTTTGACCAAAAGTCGGCAACTTTGATGTATTTCCCCAAATATGGGTGAGGTATTAACCTGTACAAATATACAAATAATAATAACGATGAGCACATAATAATGATGTCAAGGAACAGGTCTCCCCCTCTGGCTTGCCTTCATTGGCCGTCCAGAGTGGAGTCGCGAGAGCAGTGTGCTCGAAGGGTAATAAACTATTTGTTAGTCGCGATTTGGGCCAGGGATGCAGGAGGCTTCGACTGAAGCAGATGATCTAAGTAAAAAGTTATATCTAGCAACCATTCCCGGGGCCCGGTCGGTGAGTTGGCGAGTCTCCGCCTGCCATTTTTACGTGTAATAATTACATTTTTTTTCAATTATCTACTTACAATAGTTCTACACCAACCGGGGAGTGTTCTTTGGTGCTTTTCCATAGTGCATACAGGGATAGTTGTCGGTTTGTGTGTCCATTACATTTGGATTAAAGTTTTCTAAAGGGCCTCTGCGCAGTTGGCTTCGGACCCTCGTACGCCTCCCAAAGGACCCTATGGTCCCGTGAATGGTAAAGACATACATAATAATAATAAGAACTCACTACAGTGTAACGGTGGCGGCGGAATATGTCGCGCGGGCGAGGCGGGCGCGGAGGCAGGCCCGCGCCCGCCGCGCCGCTACGACCAACGGAGCTCCTTCAACTCCACGCTGCTACTGCGGGACTGAGGGAGAAAGAAGTCACACTGTCAAAAGCCTATCTTAAAACTATGCACCACTAAACAAATAACAGTAAAAATATACCAAAAATTAACAGCAATCTGACCTGGTATCTAGAAGAAGATGGAGGCACATGTGTGGCTGGCGAGCACCTGGAACATCCAGGTCGAAGCACTGTTCTACTGGAGGAACCACCTCGCATCGCTGTCCGTAGCTCCTGGAATGTGAGGAGCGCAGAGTCAGTGTAATGGCATTCATATACCTCAACATCTCATCTTTTATATAACTATTCCATATTTATTTGAAAGCCTCGCTTTTTTAAAAAACCTCAGCAATTCAAAAAAAAGCTCAACAAGTGCCCGGTATATGGCAATAGACTCACCCCCTATTACATGGGACTCATAACTTAAATAGTGAAAAGTGGGTGTTACATTGTACAGTGGCATTAAGTGCTGTAATGTGCACCTCTGTCTACCCCTTCGGGGATAAAAGGCGAGATGTGTGTCTCCTCACCTGTCCCATCTCACTGCACAGTGACTGTCTCCCCTGGCTTGCGTTCTTCTTCGTGTTCCAGCAGAACTCGAGTATCGCGACTACTATCGCCAGAGCCAAGCCACAGAGTAGAGTAACGAATACTCCACCTGGTGACAAAAGATTTATTTTATTTTTAGACATTGTCGTCGCACTGCAGGGCAAAGGCCTCCCTAGCCTCCTTCCTCTCGTCTCTTCTTAAAGCTTTCTGTGGCCAATTATTTTCATAAGCGTCAAGTTCATCCCGTCATCTCCTTCTGGGCCTACTACGACGTTTATTGACTTTGATTGGGCTCCACTCAGTAGTGAGTTATGCGCACCGCTCGTCTGACATGCGGCAGACATGACCAGCCCAGTTCCACTTTAAGCTTGCGGCTTTATGACAAACGTCAGCGATTTGAGTTTTGAAGCCCAGTATGAAGTTTCTTATTCTGACCGATAATCGGACTCTTAAGATACTGCGCTACATTGCCCGCTGGCAAACCCTGAGTGTGGACAAAAGAATTGAAATGGGAAAAACTTCGAAGGGCTTCTGTCTACTAATTGTACTTACATACATACAGTCTACATTATTATTGACATGCCTGTCTACCATTGCAATAGGTAGAGTCAATGAAACGTCATTATACTACGATTCTGACACACCTCTTTCACTTCATCCACATTTATCTAACCGTCAAGCAATGGTCATATAATAAACGCGAGATTCAGAGGTCAATTGTTCTAACATTTTTTGTTGGTTCATGGTTGGTTCATTCGTCCATAGATGGCGCTTTTTATAAATATTTTTACTTAAATCCATCACCTACTGAACCCGAGGCTATTCAACATGCATCAATCTCTTCATCTCTCTCGTCGTCATCTCTTCTAGTACTACTTCTAGTAGCTTATTTTTCTCTGAGCATTATGAATTTAATCTAAACTAGCTTCTGCCAGCGGCTTCGCCCGCGTTCTTAGGGTTAAAAAGTAGCCTATGTGTTTCAAATTTCAATTTAGTCCATTCAGCCGTTTTGATGTGATTGAATAACAAACACAGAGACACATATATTTTCGCATTTATAATATCGGTTCAAGCTAATTTCAAACTGCCTCGTTGACCGAGCGGTCGTAAGTGCGACTGCCGGGTTCGATTCGAGTCGGGCCATGTATTACTGGGGTTTAAACAAATTCTCAGTGTTAGCACGGAGTCTGGAATTGTGCCCGGTATATGGCAATAGGCTCACCCCCTATTACATGGGACTCATAACATAAAGAATGAAAATGTTACATTGTATTGGCATTGGCCTGTGTGATGTTTTTTTTTATGGTATAAGTCGGTAAACGAGCAGACGGATCACCTGATGGTAAGCAATCGGCGTCGCCCATGGACACTTGGAACACCAGAGGCGTTACAAGTGCGTTACCGGCGTTTTGGAATTAGGAATTTGAGGATTGTGCGCCATTACTGAACTATAGGTACTATTAACTTACCAATGTTCTGTACTCCTAAAGGATTAGCCTTGCTGTCTTTTCCGTCTCTATTGCAGACATCTCCCGTATTCTTCCACCATTTGTCATACAATATTTGGATTACTCCTTTCTCCTGTAGTTCCAGGATAGCTAGTGAGATCTTGTCTCTCCATGGACTGCCTTTCCAGGTTGCTATGCCGTAACCCTGGAACGATGAGGGATATTTTGAGTAACAGAGGCTCGAAGGTTTTATCTTTAGTCGAAAAAAAAGAATAAGAAGGAAGATAAACCATTTATTTTTGCGCAGAACACGAATAACATAAATAAAAAATAAAAATGAAATAAAATAACATAACATCACGCCTTTTATCCCCGAAGGGGTAGGCAGAGGTGTACATTATGCCACTGTACAATGTAACACCCACTTTTCACTATAGAGGTATATTCTATGAGTCCCATGTAATAGGGGGTGAGTGAAATAAAATATAAGCCAAAAAATGAAGTCTTGTCCATGGTCCACAGACTTATTATTTTGCTGAAATGATAGAATACTTAATATTTAATATTATCTGTGGACCATAGACAAGGAACACCCTACTTACTTCATTTCTACTAACAAATTGTTTCAACATTTCATTATGAACAAAGCTTAAAAAAGGGCTAAAAATCACTTTAACTCATTTGACGATAAACGATATATACATGAATTATATAGTGCTAGCAGCCCGTCCCGGCCCCCGGCTTCCCACGGGGTAGACAATTATTTATTTTTGGAAATTTGGATTGTTGTAGTGACATAACTACAATAGTTGGACATATGCTACCGCGGAGTTTTTTGTAGACATTATGATGTTCTTCAATATTGTTGTACATTATTTTGTTCTATCGCTAATAGTTTCGGCAGCGCATTCGACGAAAGACATTTTAAGACTCATTTTTCTACACCTTCGGTTACATTGTTCAAATTTTACCAAGGATACCTAATTTTTTTTAAATGAAATGTAGTATGTCAAATTGGAAGAATGTAGCATTCTATTGGTGAAAGAATTTTTTAAATCGGCCCTGTACCATCTGAGCCTATTCATTACAAACATACAAAAATAGGTACAAATCTTTCCTCTTTTTAATATTAGTATAGATTTAGATGCACCTTTTAACACGGTTGAGAATGCGTATTACAATCACTTAGATACAAATTTATGAGCAATGCACCTCTGCCACGGTAATAATATCATACAGTATTCCAACTTCATAAAGTGTGGGAGAGCGATGCTTCGGCACGAATGGGCCGGCTCGACCGGAGTGATACCACGGCCGAGCAGAAAACCGACGTGAAGCAACGCTTGCGTTGTGTTTCGTCGTGTGAGTGAGGTTACAGGAGGCCCAATTACCCTCCCCTTCCCCAATCTCCCCAATCCCTGAATCCCCAACGATCCTCAAACTCCTAATCCCCAAACAGCCGGTAACGCACTTGTAACGCCTCTGTTGTTCCAAGTGTCCATGGGCGACGCCGATTGCTTACCATCAGGTGATCCGTCAGCTCGTTTACCGGCTTATGCCGAGCCGGACCATTCGTGCTGAAGCATGGCTCTCCCACACTCAAAATGTCATCTATATTAGGTTGATATTGGTATCATTAAATAAATCAAGAAACTACTAATATCTTTTAAAACTCCTTACCTTAGAATCTAACAGTCCCCCAATTTGCGTCAGATTACAATCCCTCTGGACTCTATGGTCCAACATGGTGGACTCCATGAGGAATGCATAGTTTCCTGCGAGGACCCTCCTGACTCCCTCCTCATATGAGGACACTAGCGCTGGGGGGGACGCACTCGACATATGTAGCCACATCTTCTGGTATATATCTATGTTGGAGTCCTGGAATTTAGAAACAATTATTTGAGTATTTTTGTTTTGTCAATAAGAATACTGTCAAAGTTAAAGCATTTATTTCAATTAACTCGTCGAGTACCGTCATTATAGACACAATAGGTTGCGGTCACCGGTGACCGCTTGGTGTTTGACAGTTTAAACCATAATTTTGTACTTTTGATACGTCAACAAATACAAAATAAATAATAGTCTGTTAGTCAGTCCGTCAGTGAAGCTAGGTGAAGCTAGGTGGTCATTCCAAAATGTAGATTCGAATGGAGAAGAACGAGCATGAAACTCCATTCGTTACTCTTTTTAAAAATTATGTTCTACAATGTCTCTGATACATATTCCAATACTGTACGTGTATGTGAGAACAATGCAAAGACACGCTTGACGCATTATACTAATTACAAAACTTACTAAAATAAAAAATAAAAAACTTATAGTCTAACATGGTGTTCACATATACATACTGACAATACTTCAGGTAGAGGTGAATCAACGGTTTTTAAACCGCCATCATCGTCATCATTATGAGTAAGTAACTCTGCAGCTGTAGCCATATGCCATTCAGCGCTTGTCTACGTGTAGAATAGAAAATCAAATTATATGGAATTGACGTCAATTTTGACACTTGTCAGTGTCATCCCCATACATTTAGTTTTCTACTCTCTCTGTAGACAAGCGCTAAAGTGGCGTTTGGCTAAAGGCACTGTATGGCCCGACGCCAACTATCGGCATCGGCAACGAAAAGGATCCTTCGGCATCTTACACGCAAGCGCACACTGTCGGAAACTATCGATGACGAGGAATCCTTAAGCATGGCGCACCGTCCTGGAGTGTGCCGAAGCGTCTCAATATCGTATTTCTCGTTATAACAGTCTCAGAGTTCTTAATTAGGATTTATACTCGCACTCTCATGCATGAGCTTCTTAAATCTTCGGGCCACCACGACATTTTTAGTATGTACCAGGAGACAAATACACTTCTTCAACTTACCCTAAAAAATGACATAGTGGATCCTCCGTTAAGGGTTCCATATTGTATACTGGTCTGCGCGGCGAGGTCAGCAGCGCTCTGTATGGGCAGTACTGTCCGCTCTACAGTGAGGAAGGCGGCCAGGTTGGCAGTGTACGAAGACAGGATGATCAGGGTGAAGAACCACCATATCCCACCTACTATGCGGGTGGAGGTCGCCTGGAAGACAAAGAAAAATGTTTTTGAAGTTATACTAGGTGTTGTTTTAAAGCCGCGTCATTTTCTAGGAGGTAACTCGGCTATCGATTCTGAGTCCGAATCAATAAAAAAATTGTAGGTAAATATTTTTCATTTTTCTGTAAGTTACGGAAATCCGTAAGTGCGAACTACACGCCGCCGTCTTGTAACTAGCTTTATAACACGGCTTAACACACACCACTTTATATTTATAAATCTATGACACACACAAACTCAAACACGCAATTGATATTATTCCTAAATCCATAAAACTTCTATAAAAAACATTACTGTCGCTTATTCTGAAATACAGTCGAACTTAAACGATTTATTATAGCCGTATTTTTAACTATTGGCCCGAAACTTTCTCTTACATTGAACCTTTATGACTTCTATGACATGCCCCCGAGAAATATCAGGGTTCAAAACTAGACCTTGTATAATGATATTATAACCTTCGTGACTGCCTCGTTGGCCGAGTAGTCTCAAGCGCGACTGTCACGCAAAGGGTTCGATTTCCGGGTAGGGCCAAACTATTATTGAGTTTTTTTTTAAAACATAATGATGAAAAGTGGGTGTTTACCTTACACCTCTGCATACCCTTTCGGGTATAAAAGGTGTGATGTTAACGTTCATACTAAATTAATTAGGTATTACAATTTTCGGCTTACTCACATAAATGCATGACGAGGAACTCGAGTAGCATCTCGAAGGTCATCGCGTCGTGTGTCGCGGAATGCTACTCATGAATATGAACCTCTATCATGGCTTGAAACTAGTCGAGTTCCTCGTCAAACAATTACTTTTTTAAACGCGAAGACGAGGTTGCCTGTACAACATAACATATCATCACGCCTTTTATCCCCGAAGGGGTAGGCAGAGCCAGCTTATACTGAGTTGGCGAGCCCTTTCGTCGTGGACATGCTGCCACCCTGTCTCTTTTATTTTGCTTTTTTTATAATGTTTTTTTGGCTTTATTGTTGTTTTTTTTATTTTGTTATTTTAATTTTTTATATTGTTTTCTTTTTATTTTTGTTTTCTTTTTGTTTTTGTTTTTGAATGTTTATGTTGTGTGTTAATTTTCGATGGTCCATGTCTGGTGGAGAATAAATTATTTTTCTTTCTTTCTTTCTTTCTTTCAGAGGTGTACATTATGCCACTGTGCAATGTGACACCCACTTTTCACTATTTATGTTATGAGTCCCGTGTAATAGGGGGTGAGACGATTGCCATATACCGGGCACAATTCCTTGTAACGTTGCGTGTACAGTATGGTATAACAAAATAGCTCTGAATTAAAAACTTAAAAAGAATTCAGATATTATGTAATATCGTTATTTTACCTTCGGGTTCAGCCCAGACCCTTGCCTCAGGAAGGTGCCAGTGATGAACCAGAAGGAGTTGCAGACGTTGAACTGGTTCGTCAGGAGTTTCGTCTCATGACCGCAAACGTGGGTGCTGGTAGACCTGGAAGTGAAATGTCAAGACTTTTGAAAGCAGTTAACAAAAAATTTTAACTCTTTTCTTGGGTGGATTTTTATGCTGTGTTCTTCTCTTTCTTTCTCTTCTCTTTGTCTCTTCATTACATAGTATGAAACGAAGTCGCTATCCGCCGTCTGTCTGTCCCTATGTATGCTTAGATCCCTAAAACTACGCAACAAATTTTGATGCGGTTTCTTTAATAGATAGAGTGATTCTTAAGAAAGGTTTATATGTATAATACATGTATATTGCACCCGTGCAAATTCGGGCCCGGTAGCTAGTTCTCCATATTTGTATAATATTTCTTCGTCTGAGCAATATATTACAGGGCGAATTCAGTATGAACCTTTGTAAAAGTAAAAATAAACCCATGTAAAAACTATCAAGCGTATAAAAAAACAACTTCAACCCCTTCTTTTTTGAAGTCGTCATTATCATCATCATCATCGACAGCCGGAAGACGTCCACTGCTGGACAAAGGCCCCCCCCTTAGTCCTCCACGTCGAACAACAACTCGCCACCTGCATCCACTGGCTCCCCGCAACTCTGGCGATGTCGTCGGTCCACCTAGCGGGAGGCCTGCCCACACTTCGTCTTCCGATTTTTGAAGCCGGTTAATTATTATACTAAATCCTTCTCCCAAGTATCGATCCAGCCAATCGCGGAATAATCGCGAACCAACACACACACATACATAAAGGAAGTCAGTTAATTTTTTTTTTAATATATTAGATGGGCCGACGTTTGACCACAATCTCGCCTGGTGGTAAGCGATGATGCCTACGATGGAGCACGTCGACCCATAAGCAACCTATGCACTCGGGTCTTGAAGCCATGCTTCGGCACGAATGGGCCGGCTCGACCGGAGTGATACCACGGCCGAGCAGAAAACCAACGTGAAACAACGCTTGCGTTGTGTTTCGTGTGAGAGGTTACCGGACGCCCAATTACCCTCCTCCTCTTCCCCAATCTCCCCAATCCCTGAATCCCCAATAATCTTGAAACTCCTAATTCCCAAAAGGCCGGTAACGCACCTGTAACTCCTCTGGTGTTCCAGGTGTCCATGGGCGACGCCGATTGCTTACCATCAGGTGATCCGTCTGCTCGTTTACCGGTTCATGCCATAAATAAAAACCCAGGTTATACCCTTCAGGAAACACAGACTCTGGCAGTAAATTCTACTCCATAGCAGTACACACAATGAAGCTTTTGAAAACAAAAACTTACCATTCATATGGTGAAAACCGCGCCATGACAAACAGCGTAAATGACACGAGAATATACGCAGCGAGGACATACAGCCAGATCTCTATAGCAAGAGGGTTCAGGAAGCTGAAGAGACGAGTCGGTTGGGAGGTGGGGACCTGGAACCAAAAATATTTCATAAAATACAGGCAGACAGGTGAGATACAGGTGTACATTACGGCACTTAACGTCACAATGTAACACCCACTTTTCACTATTTATGTTATGAGTCCCATGTAATAGGGGGTGAGCCTATTGCCATATGTATATACCGGGCACAATACGGTAGTTTACAACTAGCCAAATTAAATAGTTTTATCGAAACTTCATAAACGATACTGTTCTGTGAATTTTGTACGAAATACCATTTTATGACGTCATCATATTTTTTTGCGTCAAATAGCACACTTATATCTATAAAAATGCTAGAATAAATCGAAAATTAAGTATATCGACAACCAATAAATGAAACTATTTTTCAATGTTTAATTGTACTGAAAAATCAAAATATTTTTTTTTATGGCATCAGCGGGTAAGCGAGCATATGGGTTACCTGATGGTAAGCAATCGGCGTCGCCCATGGACACCTAGAACACCGGAGGCGTTAAAAGTGCGTTACCGGCCTTTTGGGGATTAGGAGAATGATGATCGTTGGGGATTCCAGGATCAGGGAGATTGGGGAAGGGGAGGGGGTAATTTGGCCTCCGGTAACCTCACTCACACGACGAAACACAACGCAAGCGTTGCTTCACGTCCGTTTTTTGCTCGGCCGTGGTATCACTCCGGTCGAGCCGGCCCATTCGTGCCGAAGCATGGCTCTCCCACACTTAAAATTTGCTTATTCACTCATTTCATACTCTCTTTCATTTCTCGGCTACAAATATTGTAAACTGGACCATCTCTACACTACATGAGTCACTATTCTACTTACTATTACTACTACTATTAAGCCGATAACGCACTTGTATCGCCTCTGGTGTTCCAGGTGTCTACGGGCGACGCCGATTGCTTACCATCAGGTGATCCGTCTGCTCGTTTACCGGCTTATGCTGTAAAAAAAACTATATATCATAGAAGTACCTTAAACAATATTCCGATTCCAAGATTCATGAAAGGCTTCGTGAAATCTATGACAGCTTCCCTCGCGTAGTTTATTGTCATCGACGCCACTGCTATATCAGCTTTCTGAAACAATATGGTAACTATGGTCAGAATTTTAATTAGATTCCAGATTTGACAATAGCTACTGTCATTTTGTGAAATAATGATACCACATATAATAGCGTAGTGATGAACACAAAAATCGATAAACAATCAGTGTGTGTGTTTTATAATAAATGTTACAGAAAGTGACAGGATAGCGATAGCGATGACGGCGACAATATATAAAATAACTTATTACCCTAATACATCTATCTGTTTTATTTGTCATGTTCCTTCATGATTACATTTTTTTAAGTCTCAGATCGTTAATTAATCGTCAAAACTAAACTATTGGTTCAGAAATATTTAATTTCCTGATATACTAGAGTAAAATTATAAACAAGAAGAATCGATCCAGAAATATTGCATTTCCATATCGAATAATTTCGCAACGTCACTATTTAGTACTTGTCATAACGTTGCAACACTGAAATTGTCAAATCTGGAATCGAATTAAAATTCCGAGTATAGTTGACAACTGGTCAAATTCAATACTTTTTATATCGAAACGTCAAATACGATACTGTTCTATGAATTTTGTACAAAATACCATCTTATGACGTCATCATATTTTCGCGTCAAATAGCCCACTTAGATCTAATAAAAACGCTAGAATAAATCGAGAATTAAGTATATCGGCAAATCAATAAATGAAACTGTAACTCGTACTCCCGTACAGTTCGGTTTCAGAAGAATTTTCTCCCACGGACCCTGTGATTGTGGAATGAACTCCCTGCTGTGGTTTTCCCGGTGGACTACAATATCCGGGGTTCTTCAAGTGGGGAGTGAATGGGTTTCTTCAGTGTCGGCAAGACGTATGTAATGCCCCAAGTGTTGCAGGCGTTCATAGGCCACGGTAACCGCTTACCATCAGGTGGGTCTTGTGCTATTTTGCCACCGTCGTGGTATAAAAATAAAACTATTTTTCAATATTTAATTTGACTGAAAAATCAAAATAATTTTCTTTTGACCCAGGAAACTACCCAATTGTAAATGTTTTTGTCAACAAACTATGATCAGACATAAACCATTAAAATGTAGGTATATTGGTACAGGGGGTACCGAATTTTAAGTTCAATCGTCCCTTCTCCAAACCCCAAATCTCCAATCTCTAAATAAAAAAGGCTGGCAACGCACTTGTAAATCCTCTTGTTGGTGATCTTGTGAGACGATGATTACTTCATCATCATCATCATCATGGCCACTGCTGAGACCTCTTCTCACATGGAGAAGATTTAAGCATTAATCACACCACTTGCTCAAGATGGGTTAGCTAATTGCTTACCATCAGGTGATCTAACTGCTCGTTTTCCGCTTATACCATAAAAATTCAATATGTTTTGGTCTACTTACCCTATCCATGAGCTCCCTAACAATGCCATTCCAGTGTCCAGTATCAGGGTCTCTAGCTCCATACATATTGTCAGGAACCAGCCGAAGACGGTAGTGGAAACCAGCTCTTGCAGCGACCCTGGCGAGAAGGTCTATGCAGAAACCTTCGAATCGAGCGTTCCCTTGCAAGTTCCAGCCTTCTTTCACCATCACGTAGGGCTTTTCCTGGTGACAATTGGTTCAGAGAATTAAATTCCAAAATGGGTTTTAGAAAATGGTTCTTAAAATCTCAGTAGCAGTACGGAGTCTGGAATTGTGCCCGGTATATGACAATAGGCTCACCCCCTATTACATGGGACTCATAACATAAATAGTGAAATGTGGGTGTTAGACTGTTTTTTTAAGGGGGGAAAATCATCGAATGACTGCTCCCGCCTGGGTGAGGCGGGAGGGAGTGTCAGACTCTTACTGACTAAAAACCACCCCGTTCCTTCTCCTGCACGTCGAGCCGGAGCCCCGGTTACCCGTTAGGTTCTCCGCGACGGGTGTTAGACTGAACAGTGGTATTAAGTGCCGTAATGTGCACCTCTGCCTACCCCTTCGGAGATAAACGGCGTGGTATTACGATAAAAAGGTTTTGCCGGGAATGGAGGCACGAGCCTGGAAGCATATTTTTTGTGACCTTCTGTGAACTGACAAGAGAGTATACATTTGATAAAGATCTACTAGAGAGCCATGCTTCGGCACGAATGGGCCCGGCTCGACCGGAGTAGAAAACCGACGTGAAACAACGCTTGCGTTGTGTTAGCTTTTGTAGTGTGAATGAGGTTACCGGAAGCACAATAATCCCCCCCTCCCCTCCACAATCTTCCCAATTCCTGAATCCCAAAACCCTTAAAAGACCAGCGGCGTCGATTGCTTACCATCAGGTGATCCGTGTTTACCGGTTAATCCAAAAATAAACTGTTTCTCTTTCTGCTTTCTTTCGCAATCACCACAAGGTTTAAAACAGAGTCATAACATAACATCACGCCTTTTATCCCCGATGGGGTAGGCAGAGGTGCACATTATGCTACTGTACAATGCAACTCCCACTTTTCACAATTTATGTTACGAGTCCCATGTAATAGGGGGTGAGCCTATTGCCATATACCGAGCACAATTCCAGACTCCTTGCTACTACTTAGAATATTTAAACTATCAAACACCAAGCAGTCACCGGTGACTGCAACCTATTGTTCTATAATTGTGTCTATAATGACGGTACTCGACGAGTTATACTTTGCCCGACCCGGGAATCGAACCCGAGACCCCTTGCCCGGCAGTCGCACTTACTTACCACTCGGCCAAAGCGTCAGTCATCTATAATTGAATATTAAATGACAATACTTACTTCAACAGTAACCACAGTCAAAGTAACATTCGGTGGCGGGTCCCTAGTGTACGCGGCGGGGTCTGTAATGGCCAGCCCCTCCCCCGGGGTCCAATGTCCAGAGACCACCATCCCCCCCTTCTCCCCACCAGTTAGCCTCATGAGCTGGAGGTGGAAATTCGTTCGCACTCCATTCTTGAATTCTATTGGTCCTGTTAGGCCGTGCGCTTGGATCTGTAAAGGGATATTGGATTTTATGGTAAAAAATTATGATGGATTTTTAGATTGATTGATTGATAGACTGATAGATTAATGGTTTCATGGGATGAAAGATCGACGGAATGAAGGATTAATGGATTGATGAATTGACGGACTAAAATTTGATGGATATATTCATTGAAGGATTGAAAGATTGATAAATTGATGGATTAACAGATTGATAGATTGTTAATGTAACACCCACCTATCACTAATTTATGTTATGAGTCCCATGTAATAGGGGGTGAACCTATTGCCATATACCGGGCACAATTCCATACTCCGGGCTACTACTGAGAATTTTTTAAACAAACCCGTGACCCCTAGCCCGGCAGTCGCACTTGTGACCACTCGACCAACGATGCAGTCTAATAGTGAAAAGTGGGTGTTACATGATACAGTGGCATTAAGTGCCGTAATGTGCACCTCTGCCTACCCCTTGAGGGATAAAAGGTATGATGTGTTATGTTATGTTATGCTGTTAGATTGATAATTTATTACTCACATTATTAATATTATCATAAATAGTTTTCCCGTGGTTCCAAGGTATATCTTTATCACAGGACACGTTTCCTGGGTGGAAGTCTTCAGTGATGGCGAGAGCCTGGCACAGGATCTGAACAGCGTCGTACAGGAGAGCTGGTTCCGTCTGGAAAATAGAAAATTGGTCGTGTTTAAAGCTGTAGAGAAGTCTACAGATTTCATATCGAGTAAAAGCCACTAAAAACTTAAATTACACTACCCACTGCTTAACTCGTCGAGTACCGTCATTATAGACACAATTATAGAACAATAGGTTGCGGTCACCGGTGACCGCTTGGTGTTTGACAGTTTAAAAACCACTGCACCAAATTCAATAAATAGGATAGTTTCCCAAATTTTATTTTAATGTCCGTCTGGTACATTAATTTGAAACTTTAGACACGTATTTTTTCTTTTCTCACAAAATTTAATACTTTCGACGATATATTAAATTGAAATATCGTGTGACATCACAGCGTGTCACATTTTGTAGCACGTTATGACGTAACGAACTCCCACTCCTAAACTTAGCGCCATTTTATCTAAGTATTGCAACTGAATACGAGAAAATTAAAAAATACGTGTCTAATATTTTTTCATTATCTAACTGACGGACTAATTAGATTTTTAATTTTGATGCCCTGGAAACTACCCAATTATCTTTGATCTCATTCTGGAAAGGCTCAAATTACGCATTATATATATAGTACTTGAAGACTGCCTCGTTAGCCGAGTCGTCGTATGTGCTGCTGACTACATATGAGCTGATAACTAGTTATCACCTACTAGCTACTTCCGGGCGGTTTCATACGCTCTGCTCAGCTCCTATTGGTCGAAGCGTGATGTTTTTTAGTCTATAGCCAACCTCGATAAATGCGTTGTCCAACACAAAAAGAATTATTCAAATCAGACTTGTAGTTACGGAGATTAGCGCGTTCAAACAAACAAACAAAAAAACTAACTCTTCCGCTTCATATAATAATATAAGATATAAGATGTGAAGAACAAGGGTACCAATAATATAATATCTACATCTTCTACATTACCTTAATATGTCCCCCACTGATGATGGAAGCTCCAATAGGATGGAACTTCTCCATGACTTGGAGAGACTCCTTGACTTTATCAGAGTCTCTGTCTACCAGCCTCCAGCCGCTCATGTTGACACGGTTGTAATAAAAGTCTTCCATGTCAAAAAGCTCGAAGTCCTGGAATTGTTATTGTATTTTTTTGAGATTTTATTTTTTATACCACGACGGTGGCAATGTAACCACATGGCCCACCTGATGGTAAGTAATTACCGTGGCCTATGAACGCTTGCAACACTTGGGACATTACATGCTAAGTGTGGGAGAGCCATGCTTCGGCACGACTGGGCCGGCTCGACCGGAGTGATACCACGGCCGAGCAGAAAACCGACGTGAAGCAACGCTCGCGTTGTGTTTCGTCGTGTGAGTGAGGTTACCGGAGGCCCAATTACCCATCCCCCTTCCCCAATCTCCCCAATGCCTGAATTCCCAAAAATCCTCAAACTCCTAATCCCCAAAAGGTCCAAAAGTGAGGTTACCGGAGGCCCAATTATCCCTTTCCCCAATCTTCCCAATTCCTGAATCCTCAAAAATTCCTAATCCCCAAAAGGCCGGTAACGCACTTGTAACGCCTCCGGTGTTCCAGGTGTCCATGGGCGACGCCGATTGCTTACCATCACGTGATCCGTCTGCTCGTTTACTGGCTTAGGCCATAAAAAGGGTTAGACTCAAATGAAATGACATCCTTACTTTCAACATTCATAATTTATCATGAACCTTGAAATAGAATACCTTTTATTTGCTGAAGAAGCAGAAATTAATGAAAGATACTTACAAACGAAGTGAAGACGTAATGATAATTCTCATTATTCATTTGCAGCTGAAGAATCTGAAATGTTAAAAAAAAATAGCAATATATACACCTTAAGATAAACATTAAATAAAAGAAAACTAAAAAAAAACGTATTTACACAAAGCATCTAGAGGTAGTTAGAGAGATGACGACCAAAATTTTTGTCTCATAGCAATACGGCCAAAACCGCCTCAAATCGATAGATACGATTATTACTAAACTCGAAAATACCAATATCAGACATTTTCTGCGTAGCGTTTGATCTGACCACAAAAACACCAGACAAAAAAAATGTCTCATAGCAATACGTCTGAAAACCTTTTTTATTGGTAAATTTTGGTTATTTGATGCGAACAAAACAATTTTCAGATGGAAATGTGAACGCATTAAATATTGAGACCGTTTTGAAAATGTTAACAAATTTTACTTGATTTATATTTTTTTTATGTTTTTTTTTTAATTTTATTTTTTGATTTTATAGGGTTTTTGCCGTATTGCTGAGACATGGTTTTGGTCGTCATCTCTCGTACTAATCGGAAAATTCGTCCGCATCGACGTCAGTAGGGAAAGTACCCAAAAGGCTGGCAGCATTGCCACGTTGTATGGCAATGCTTAACCATATATAGGTAGAATAACTTGAAACGACACTTATTTTTCTACTCAATCCCAAAATTCTTATATAAAATGAAATAAAATGTTTTTTGTGTCGTGATGGCCCGGAGGTTTAAGACGCCCGCTTCTCATGCATGAGGGTGCGGGCTCGAAACCTACCAACGACAAGTACCAATGTGACTTTTTACGAGTTATATGTACTTTCTAAGATTATTTAGACACTACTGACAAACGGTGAAGGAAAAACATCGTGAGGAAACCTGGACTTATAATTTCTAATTATAAGTTTGAAATCGCCAACCCGCATTGAGCAAGCGTGGTGATTAATGCTCAAACCTTCTCCGTGTGAGAAGTGGCTTTGCTCAGCAGTGGACATTTATAGGCTGTTGATGATGATAATGTTTTTACTGACTTCAAAAAAAGGAGGAGGTACTATGTTCGGCTGATTGTTTTTTTTTTTTTTGTTTGGTCGCGCAGTACTCCGCCATTTGTGAACCGATTTCCAAAATTCTTGTTTTGTTTAAAAGGGTATGGCATCGACTTCTTACCTATCAGTGGGTGGGTAACCTATCAGTATTAATAATAGTTATTTTTTGCTTTTTATTTTTGACTTTTTGTTTGTTATTAGTTATTGGTTTTTTAAGTCGATTTTTTTTAGAAAAATAATACCACAAACTAATACTCACAGCCCTCGCTAGCTGCCTCACCCTCTTCGGGTCTGTATCGACCACAATATGATCAATATCTTGCGCCTTCAACAACGCTAGTCCTCGTCTATATTCCTTCGCATCCCGACACCTTACTGTATACATGTCTCTGCCGTCTTTTGCTATATCTAAGATATTTAGTTCACCTGGAAAAATAAAAACAATACATTTTTTATAACAACTATCGTGACACATCTTGGTCAGCTCCAGACTGTTTTTTTTTTTTAAGGAGGGAAAATCATCGAATGACTGCTCCCGCCTGGGTGAGGCGGAAGGGAGTGTCAGACTCTTACTGACTAAAAACCACCCCGTTCCTTCTCCTGCGCGTCGAGCCGGAGCCCCGGTTACCCGTTAGGTTCTCCGCGACAGCTCCAGACTGTATGATTCTATTGTCCTCAAGGTTATTTTCTTTTTCAATCTCTTTGATTGGATTTAAGTGTTACATTGATCTCATCTCACACAATCGAACCAACAAAACTATGTAGCTACCTAACTAGAAAATTGTATTGTAAAGTCGATTGAGTTTCTTACTCATTTTTTTCCATAGGAATCGACGCCTCCTCTATAAGAATCTATTACATGGGACACATAACATAAATAGTGAAAAGTGGGTGTTACATTGCACCTCTGCCTACCCCTTCAGGTTTAAAAGGCGTCATGTTATGTTATGTTATGTGAATCTACGCCTTCGAATGAGCAACTAGCTTCACTTCAAAATTTTTGTTGCTGACGTTCAAAAGTGCCTTCCTGGTCTAATTGAAATGAATGATTAGTTTTGACTTTTGACTTACTAAAATTAACTATAAATCGCGGGTTACTCACGTGAATATACAAAGAAAAGCTCTACTAGTTTCGAACCACAGAGGGGTTCTTCCTCATGAGCAGCGTGCACGGTCGCGGCGATGTCGCACAGCCTACTGAACCCCTCTGATTTTTAGTTAATTTACTATAGCTTTGCTCACGTGGAACTTATTTTATAAAGATAAAAATATATGGCCGAGTGGTCGCAAGTGCGACTACCAGGCGAGGGGTCTTGGGTTCAATTACCGGGTCGGGCAAAGTATTACTGGGTTTGTAATAAAAAATCTCAGTAGTAGCGTGGAGTGTGGAATTGTGCCCGGCCTATGGCAATAGGCTCACCGCCTATTACATGGGACTCATAACATAAACTGTGAAAAGTGGGTGTTACATTGTATAGTGGCATTAAGTGCCGTAATGTGCACCTCTGCCTACCCCTTCGAGGATAAAAAGCGTGATGTTAACTTATGTTATTATAAAAAACAAATAAACAACAGCTTACCATATCCATAATCTTCGTAGATGACTCCCATCCTCGTCCAGTTTAGATATGAGAGGAACTCGGCAAACGCCTTCGTTAGGAGGTCCCTTGGTGGGTACAGGTTTATTGTGAATGTATGGTTCACTGGAAAATGGAGAGATACAGATGATTACCTGTATCGTCTATATATATAACTAGCAGCCCGTCCCGGCTTCGCACGGGTTAGACAATTTTTTTTATTCAAAATGAAATGTAGCCTATGTCAAATTGGAAGAATGTAGCATTCTATTGGTGAAAGAATTTTTTAAATCGGCCCAGTACTTTTTGAACCTATTCATTACAAACATACAAACATACAAAAATAGGTACAAATCTTTCCTCTTTATAATATTAGTATAGATATAGAAGTATAGATAAAACTGTAAAAATGCAAATTCTGTAGTTGCATTGAAAATATAAAAAAAATAGTAGTAGATAGACACCGAACCCAAAATTGTGATTAAATAAATTTTTAAATTATTATGTTTTCGGCTTACTCACGTAATAATTTGACGAGGAACTCGACTGTCGAAGTCGCCGCGTCGCGGGTCGTGGAATGCTGCTCATGAATATGAGCCTCTAGCATGGCTTGAAACTAGTCGAGTTCGTCGTCAAATTACTACGTGAGTAAGCCGAAAACATAATAATTTATTTAGTACGTCTCACGAAAGTTACAATACAAATAAATTTTTGTCTGTCTGTCTGTCTGTATGTTCGCGCATTATGTACGTAAAACCTACCAGTCCAATTACGAGCAAACTTGGTATGATTATACTTTAATATCCTGGGAATCACACTGGGTACTTTTCAATCCGAAAAAGCATATACACAAAAAACAAAGTTAATTGTGCGGCATGATCCCTAGATACAGTTGCTATACCAAACGCAAATATAAGTTTGTCAAATGACAACGTTACGACTAGTTAGTTTTAAAGATCTAAGCATACATAGGGACAGACAGACGGCGGATAGCGACTTTGTTTTATACTATGTAGTGATTATCTTACCATGAGGTGATCCACTCACTCAATTATCCTGTAAAAATATTTGACTTGATAAAGAGAAGGTATTACTTACAATTCTCAGGAGTAAAAGGTCCAACAGTTAGGTGTGGAGCATGCAGACTGATACTCATGTGGTCTAACGTGTTGCCCAGCAGTGGACCCACGCCACTGAAAATGGCCACTGCACCCGACTGGATTTGAGCACACGCTGAAATCGAACATTAAATATTATAAATCATTTTACTTCGGTTCATAAACAAATTGCCCTTAGACGACTATACTCGTAACCAGAGGACTGGCTATTTCTTCGGACAGAAAACAAGCATTGCCATTCAACGTGGCAATGCTGTCAGTCTTCTGGTAACCTTCACTAGTGACAGTAATGACAATAACGAACAGACGGATCACCTGATGGTAAGCAATCGTCGTCGCCCATGGATACGTGGAACACTAGAAACATTACAAGTGCGTTACCGGCCTTTTGCGGATTAGGAGTTTGAAGATTGTGGGGGATTCGGGGATTGGGAAGATTCCTTCGAAGATTGGGGTCGATTTTCTGTGAGGCCGTGGTATTACTCCGGTTGAGCCGGCCCATTCGTGCTGAAGCATGGTTCTCCCACACTTAATCTTTGACGCCTGACTGGTGGTATTTTTTTAGTATTTTTATGTTTTTTTTTATTCATAATTACCCATGTTATTTATGTGTATTTTTTTTTAAGGCAAAGGATTTCAATGTATTGATTTAGACAGAGGCTCAATATCTTGAAAGGATTTAAAAATCGGTTTTATTTATCTGTATAGATTTATTAATAAAAACATGCATGCATTAAGTGTGGGAGAGCCATGCTTCGGCACGAATGGGCCGGCTCGACCGGAGTGATACCACGGCCTCACAGAAAACCGACGTGAAGCAACGCTTGCATTGTGTTTCGTCGTGTGAGTGAGGTTACCGGAGGCCCAATTACCTTCCCCTTCCCCAATTTCCCCAATCCCTGAATCCCCAACGATCCTCAAACTCCTAATCCCCAAAAAGCCGGTGACGCACTTGTAACGCCTCTGGTGTTCTAGTTGTCCATGGGCGACGCCGATTGCTTACCATCAGGTGATCCGTCTGCTCGTTTACCGGCTTATGGCATAAAAAAAAAAAAAAAAAAAAACATGCATAATTTTACAGCTTAAAACAACACATTACAAAGTTATAATGAAGAAAAACAGTATAATAACTTTAAGGCTTTGACTGCCGACAGAAAACTGTTGAAGGTAAATCCTCCGCTAGCGTGGCCCATACGTTGTCCCCCATGGCGTTTAAGGTGTTAATTGCTAAAAACTAATTCATCAGCCTGCTAACTGATCAGCCATCCATCTTTATAGCTGTTATTACATTTAAAGTTACGATCCACCTTTCAGTGTACATAAAAAAGCATTTACGATATACCAATCACATTTCTAGCCTCCATTATAACTGAAAAACACAATAATACTTTAACCAACCCCGTCCACTCGACCAACGTACCACTTGAAACAAATCCTGCATTATACAAGGCCTTTTATATTTCCTACCGAGTCATAGAGAAGGATGCCATATTAAAAAAAGTCTAGCAATAATGCTAGCCGGTAAATGTAAGGAAATCCAATATGGCCGCCTCGTTTCCCGCCAAGCTGTGAGCAAGCGTCGGGTATTGTTTGAAAAACATGGAGTATTGAGTTTGTGGAGTAATTCGTGTGTGAATCCAAAAAGTTATCGTTGGTCAAGTATTCATATTGCGACTCTAGAGTTAGGGGTTCCGAGTTCGATTCAGAATTGTGCAAAGTATGATTAATTTTTATGTACGGTGACAATAACCACAATGGAGTTATACATAGGGTCCATGACAAAACTACATATCATAACATCACGCCTTTTATAACCGAAGGAGTAGGCAGAGGTGCACATTACGGCACTTAAAGCCACTGTACAATGTAACACCCACTTTTCACTATTTATGTTATGAGTTCCAAATAAAAAAGGGTGAGCCTATTGCCATGTGCACAATTCCAGACTCCGTGCTACTATATAGAATTAGAAAAAAACCCCAGTAATACTTTGCCCGGCAACCAAACCTGCGACCACTCGGCCAACGAGGCGATGAAACTGGTGATAAGTGTACGTTACATTATTGCATAATTATGTACATCTCCGGTTACCATATTGGGGATTAAAAGTCGTTACGATATCCACAATAATTTGATTGCACATGATTTACAGCAAATAGTTAAAGTAGATCAAATTAGTATTAACACTTGTGCTGCAGCCACCAAAAGCAACAGCATTTAGTCAAATTTAAACTCAAAGGACACTTTTAGTTTTGTTGCCATAAATATGGTACTCCATTTCTCTATACTCCGTGTCATAAAGGGCGCTTTACAGTGCAGTTTTTGATAGAAAAAGTTGTGTGTTTATTGCGTATTTTGTTTTTGTTTTTCTGTGTGAAATTATCGCAAAATGGCGCTTGGTGTGACTTTGCACTGCATTTTGAAAATAGAACGCGTTTAATTCTCATTTTTAAAGTGGTTTATTGCGGTTAAAATGAAATTGGAAACGCCAAGACTATTAATTATTTATTTATACTTTATTGCACACACAGAAAAAAATTGCTAATAATAACTAATAACTATTTTGTTTCGTAAAAATATAGGTGTTTTTTGTTTTTTTTTATTTCCTTATATCTGTGTGCGAACTACACGCCGCCGTCTTGTAACTAGCTTAATAACAGAGCTTAACACACACAAACTCAAACACGTAATTGATATTATTCCTAATTCCATAAAACTCCAATAAGAAACATTGCTGTCGCTTATTCTAAAATACTGTCGAACTTAAACGATTTAATATAGCCGTAGTTTTAACTACTGGCCCAAATTTTTTTTTACATTGATCCTTTATGTCGTCTGTGACATGGCCCCGAGAAATGATACGGCTTCAAAACTACACCTAGTATAATACATTTATATAAATAAATGCTGTACATAGACTACATATTACCACTGTTTTGATTTTGCCACTTTCTATGAATGTGTTTACGAACCTTGAATTTAACTCGTCGAGTACCGTCATTATAGACACAATTATAGAACAATAGGTTACGGTCACCGGTGACCGCTTGGTATTTGACAGTTTAAATGATTATCCCATAAAAAGTCCTTACCTTTCTTGAAAGTCTTGAAGCTATCCCGTGAAGGTGTGTACTGAATATCGTACACCAGCGTGCTGTTCGGCAGAAGAGTCCTTTCTTTATTGATCCTGTAGACAGCGTACTTGAAGGCCAGCTCCGTGCTACCACCTCTTGCGTCTTCCGTGAACACCGCGCCTGGAATAGGGATGATGACGGGGTATGAAAATTAAAACTCTAATTAGTCCAAGTCAATCAGTTAGATAATGAAAAAATATTAAACTCAAACTCAAAAGCATTATTAAACTCAAACTGCCTCATTGGCCGAGTGGTCGCAAGTGCGACTGCCGGGTAAGGGGTCTCGGGTTCGATTCCCGGGTCGGGCAAAATATTACTGTGTTTTTTAAAATCTCAGTAGTAGCACGGAGTCTGGAAATGTGCCCGGTATATGGCAATAGGCTCACTCCCTATTAAATGGGACTCATTACATAAATAGTGAAAAGTGGGTGTTATATTGTACCTCTACAGTGGCATTAAGTGCCGAAATGTGCGCTTCTGCCTACCCCTTCTGGGATAAAAAAGCGTCATGTTATGTTATGTCAAAAACATTTATGATACTTTTGAAACGTCAACAAATGTAAAAATACATAATAGGCTGTTCGTCAGTGAAGTTAGGTGCTCATTCCAACAAGTAGGATCAAGTGGAGAAGAACGAGCAAGAAATTCCATTCGTTACTTTTTTTAAATAAGTATGTTTACAATATCTCTTATACATATTCGAATGTTGTACATTATATGTGAGAACAATGTAAAGACACGCTAGACGCATTATACAAATAACAGAATTTCTTCGATCAACAATAACAATTGTTGATCGAAGCAGAATTTACTGAAATAAAAACAAAACAAATATAAAGAAATATGTTATAGTCTAACATGGTGCTCACAGATGCATACTGACAATACATATAAAATAGTGCTTCTATACACGGAAAAAAATGCCGCGGAGAACCTAACAGGTTACCGGGGCTCCGTCTCCAAGTGCAGGAATATGAACGGGATGGTTTTTAATCAGTAAGAGTCTGACACTCCCTCCCGCCTCAGCCAGGCGGGAGAAGTCATGAATTTCCCCCATTAAAACAAAAATACAAGAAAAAGAAATTCTTTCTTTCAACATAACTCTTTGTTTTTAATTTTAGACACGTATCTTTTTATTTTGACATTTAAAACGACAATACTTAGATGAAACGAATCAAAGTATGGAATAGGAGTGGGAGCTAGCTACGTCATTTCTACGTATAAAATGTATATAGAAGTGATGTCACGCGATATTTCAAATCAATACATCGTCGACAATATTTGTTTCTGTAAGAAAATAAAAAATACGTGTCTATTGTTTTTAAATAATATCATAACATAACATCACGCCTTTTATTCCCGAAGGTGTAGGCAGAGGTGTACATTATGGCACTTAATGCCACTATACAATTGTAACACTCACTTTTCACTATTTATGTTATGAGTCCCTTGTAATAGGGGGTGAGCCTATTGCCATATACCGGGCACAATTCCAGACATTTAAATAATCTACCGTGTCTAATTCATGAATTCCGAGTTATCTACTTATACTTTCTAAGATTATCTAAACACCACTGACAAACGGTGAAGGAAAACATCACCTAAGCGTATAATTTCTAATCATTAATTCGAAATTACCAACCCGTATTGAGCAAGCGTGGTGATTAATGCTCAAACCTTCGTCGTGTGAGAAGAGGCTTTGCTCAGCAGTGGGCACCTATCGACTGTTTTTTACAAGTTTAGTCGCGGATTCTATTGACTACGGTACATGCTGCGAACGTTTGAGAAAGCATTAAATACATAGATTTTAAACTGACCTATTTTAACCACCGGAGAGAGAGCCACCACAGTATTCAGCGTTAGCATGACACACCACCACTCTGACCACATCCTGCCTCATCGTCAGCCCTTGACGATGTCCACACCACCTGCAAAACAAATAGCATCATCATCATCATCAACAACTATAACAACGAATGGACCAGCTCAACCGGAGTGATACCACGGCCGAGCAGAAAAACAGCGTGAAACGATGTCAAAGTCAAAGCATTTATTTCAATTAAACCATAGTTTGGTACTTTTGAAACGTCAACAAATATAAAATAAATAATAGTCTGTCAGTCAGTCCGTCAGTGAAATTAGGTGAAGCTACATAGGTGCTCATTCCAAAACGTAGATTCGAATGGAGAAGAACGAGCAAGAAACTCCATTCGTTACTCTTTTTTAACTGGTACCGTTGTGTTCCGTCTTTACCATAAGGGTACTCGGGGCCCGTGCCCAGGGGGTCCCCGAAGGACCGACAATTTCTACGGCGGACACACATTCGCTATACGTTGCGTGGCAACTAGCGGGGTCGATTCCCGCACTTAGCAAATCTTTGTGTGGTCCACAAAATTGTTATTTCGGGTCTGGGTGTGTATATGAACTTGTATGTCTGTAAATGCACCCACGATACAGGAGAAAATCCTTTTTTTATGGCATAAGCCGTTAAACGAGTAGACGGATCACCTGATGGTAAGCAATCGGCGTCGCCCATGGACCGGTTACCGGCTACCGGCTACCGGTTACCGGCTTTTTGGGGATTAGGAGTTTGAGGATCGTTGAGGATTCAGGGATTGGGAAGATTGGGGAAGGGGAGGGTAATTGGGCCTCCGGTAACCTCACTCACACGACGATACACAACGCAAGTGTTGCTTCACGTCGGTTTTCTGTGAGGCCGTGGTATCACTCCGGTCGAGCCGGCCCATTCGTGCCGAAGCACGGCTCTCCCACACTAATCCTAGCATGGGACAATGTTAAAAACAAGAAACATACCAAATGGGCCCGAAATTGTTGTGTGCCTAAGGGCCCCAGCGTAGATTAAGACGGGCCTGCGGGTGATTGAGGCTCTTTAGGCAACGGCCTAAGAAGAAAGGTAATAGAACAGTCTGGCGTTACCGCACGACTTATCTATACAGATAAAATATAAAATTAGATTGTCTGTTTGTAATATTGAAATAATCGCTTATTACTACTTGCATATGAATATACATACGACACACATCAATAACACACTTTTTACAATTTTTGTCTGTCTGTCTGTCTGTTTGTACTGGCTAGTATCTGAAATGGCTAGACCGATTTTAACGGGACTTTTATTGACAGGTAGCTGACGTATTGTCGCGGAGAACCTAATGGGTTACCGGGGCTCCGGCTCGAAGTGCAGGAGTAGGAACGGGGTGGTTTTTAGTCAGTAAGAGTCTGACAGTCCCTCCCGCCTCACCTAGGCGGGAGCAGTCATTCGATGATTTTCTCCCATTAAAAAAAAAGGTACCTGACGTACTAAGGACTAAAATGCTACTTATTTTAGAAAAACGCATACGAAGTTATGAGTACAGCTAGATTTAACATTATGGCCCAAAAATGAATCCCCTATCAAGATTAAAAGTCACCCACTTCTCGCATACACACGTGGGCCTCATAATTTCAGAGCGGCAATACATTTTGCCACCCCGTAGGAATGCCGAGTAAATTGTTGGAATATCTGGCGCGGTAGCGAGGCGGCAATATACACCGATCAACTCATATTGTAGTTGTGGTTATATTTAGATGTATAGAGGACACACTGCTTGGTGGAATAGGAAACAAAGTTTTGTACAAAAATATATTATACTTTTTTTTATGGCATAAGGCGGTAAATGAGCAGACGGGTCACCTGATGGTAAGCAATCAGCGCCGCCCATTGTCACCTGGAACACCAGAGGCGTTACAAGTGCGTTACCGACCTTTTGAGGATCGTTGGGGATTCAGGGATTGGGGAGATTGGGGAAGGGAAGGGTAATTGGGCCTCCGGTAACCTCACTCACACGACGAAACACAACGCAAGCGTTGCTTCACGTCGATTTTTTGTGCGTCCGTGGTATGACTCCGGTCGAGCCGGCCCATTCGTGCGGAAGCATTGCTCTCCCACACTTACTATAAACAGCTGGAAAGTTAACTAAAATCGCGGGTTAGTCACGCGTGCGCCGTCGCTGAGACCGCGCACGCTGCTCTTGTGGAAGAACCCTCTGTGGTTCGAAACTAATAGAGCTTTTTTCAGTATATTCACGTGAGTAACCAGCGATTCTAGTTAATTTAGTATGTCTCACACTAGTTATTATAAAAACATAGCTGGAAAGTTGGTTTGTAATGTAGTTACTCTCCCACACTTAGTGTTGAGAATATTCGAAAAACCCAATATTTCTTTGCCCGACCCGAGAACCAAAACCAAGACCCCTTACTTAACAACAGTCACTGTAGAGACATCCTCTAACAAAACAAGTCATTCAAAATCAAATCGATCGGTTAAATTATACTACATTTTGTAAAAAGACTCACAGAGAGTGTCAGGATATGAAATTAATTTATTTGATCCCGCCACCCTACCCCGACAGATGTTAGAGCGTCGGAGTTGGAACAAAAGATATTATGAATTGAGGATTATATTTTTTAATAAGCCACCCGGTATGATATCTTTATGATTTTTTTATTACATTTACGTGGAATATTGATTTAGAACACACTGTCTACTTGGTTAGTAGGATTGGGACACATATATGCAAACAATGTGTTCGATAATGCATCACGTGCATTTTTTTTAAGGGGGGAAAATCATCGTATGACTTTTCCCGCCTTAGTGTCAGACTCTTACTGACTAAAAACCACCCCGTTCCTTCTCCTGCACGTCGAGCCGGAGCCCCGGTTACCCGTTAGGTTCTCCGCGACTCCTAATCGGCAGCATCACGTGCATAGATAGGTAATTTTCTACGGTTATAATGAAAAACTCATCTAAACTGTATTTTTATTAATGTTCTAAAAGAAGCATAGAAAGGCCCTGCAGCGGAACGACCACAAGTGAAAATAAAATATAGGTAAAAAAATATGTTTTATGACATAAGCAATCGGCGCCGCCCATGAACACAAAAACCGACGTTGACGACACTTGTGTTGTGTTTCATCGTGTGAGTGAGGTTACCAGAGGCTCAATTACCCCCTCCCCAATCTCCCCAGTCCCCGAATCCCCAATAATCCTCAAATTCCTAATATTCAAAGGGCGGGTAACGCACTTATAACACCCCTGATATATCGGGTTTCCACGAGCGGTGCCCATTGCTTACCATCAGGTTATCCGACTGCTCGTTTACCGACTTATTTCAATAAAATATATATAATTATATATAAAGTTATCCAACTTCCCCGTCAGTGTGTCCGACCACATAATTGAGAGGTTTGCATATTTTCACGCGACGACCCCACTGTTTGGGATCTCGGGGGGCCGTCGAATAGAGTATAATATTTATACCCATAATAAATAAATAGTAACTGGAGTTTATTAAGATCTTGCAAGGTATTGTTAAAAAGATCGAATGGAATATACAGAGTGTAAAACGCGTGCGGAACGCTCCTGAACGACGCTGACAAAAAGTAGCTTTTACAATTGAGATGATGACAGGATATGAAAATTAAAAATCTAATTAGTCCGTAAGTTAGATAATGAAAAAATATTAGACACGTATTTTTTATATTGTCGTATAATAAAACAATACTTAGATAAAACGAATCAAAGTTTAGGAGTGGGGGCTAAAACGTCATTTCTACGTATAAAATGTACATAATAGAAGTGATGTCACGCGACATTTCAAATCAATATATCGTCGAAAGTATTCGTTTCTGTAAGAAAATAAAAATACGTGTCTAATGATTTAAAATAATCTACCAGACGGACATTAAAATAAAAATTAGTCATCTACCCTTTTTATTTTTTAATCGTTTTGTTTACATGTTATTCGTGCAACATCAGCCTTGAGCGGTTGCGATTGCGGAACAACGCAAGCGTTGCTTCACGTCGGTTTTCTGCTCGGCCGTGGTATCACTCCGGTCTAGCCGGCACATTTGTACCGAAGAATGGCTCTCGCACACTCGTGGGTTAATGGGCCTGATGCTTAAAACCAATTAAATATTTTTGATAATATCGACCGATAAACGACTCAGCTGAAAATTCTAATAATAGAGATACGATAGAATACGAATTTAAACGTATTTTTAAAGGGGTATAATCATCGAATGACTGTCACTGACACTCTTTCCTGCCTGTGTGAGGCGGGAAGGAGTGTCAGACTCTTACTGACTAAAAACCACCCCGTTCCTTCTCCTGCACGTCGAGCTGGAGCCCCGGTAACCCGTTAGATTCCCCGCGACGAATTTTAACGTAGTTATATCAAAATTTCGCTGTTCTGATGTTAGAAACGCCTGAAATTATTCAACGTTGTACCTCTACATTTTTCAGTTGCATTTTCATGACTCATGTCAAATATTTAGTCTCTATTGAAAGGATATTACTAAGCTATGATAGATACATAGTAGACATAAGAATTTTTAATTAAACGACACATGTTAGTCGAGTTATCTTCTAAAAACATGTTATAATGTAACGTGAGTCGAGCCTATTACCTCTTGTCTCTTTCCTAACATACAAGAGGTTTTGAATTCGATTTCCGTGTTCGGTTTTATACATATATATAAGAATGAGGTGATAGAAGATGGACCTATAATATCCACGCTTGGTGGTAGGTGAGTTGGAGATTACAGTTCAGAAACGAGCATACACTACATAAACGGGCACCTTTTGTCAGAGGGGTTTGTGACTGACCAAAACTAGATCTGAGCGTACGGCGCGTCGCCTTTCGCGTGCCTCAAGGCGCCATCAGACCACCACAGATGGGGCCCAATAGGGCTGATGCCGATACGGAGCTCCAGTTCGAAGTGCAGGAGTAAGAATGGGGTAGTTTTTAGTCAGTAAGAGTCTGACACTCCCTCCCGCCTAACCTGGGCGGGAAAAGCCATTGGATGATTATTTCCCCTCAAAAAAGGGGGTTTGTGACTTAGCGGGTTGCCAGGGGTCTGATTCGAA